GTAAAATGGGGTTAGCACTGGCACCCACCTCATTCTTACTGTCGGGAGGAATACACTGTAATATGGAGTGCTTAGAACAGTGCTTGGCAGCATGTGCGTCACGAATGTTTCCTGTTGTTGGTGGCGCTGTTGTTATTAGACCCTGGCTTTGGAAGCTGGGTCAGACACTAGCAAAGCCCTCTGCCTGGGCGTGCCCACGGGGACTGTTCCGGGCCGCAAGCTTCCACGCTGAAGCCCGCCCTGCAGGCAGGATGTCCGGCCTCCAACCGCAGCCTCCAAACCTTGATCGGTAACTCTGATTTTCTTGCCTCTGATTTTATTGCCTCTCTGCCCACATATCATCAGTGGGGGCGTGGACGCTTACATGAACGCTTGGGGTCTCATAAGGGGCACCCTGCAGATTCCAAGATTCACAGCTTCTGGCCTCAGGTCCTGACTGCCCCCCACCCCCAGCCCCTGGCATGCTGGTGTTGCCACAGTGCCCAGTCACCTATCTCTCCTCCACAACTTCTTCCTTCCTCCAAAGGCAAGCAGTAGTCATATTTCTGCTGTCATGTGTCTCTCACAATTTCCACCTTTTTTTTTTTTCCCCCCCCTGGAGACAGAGTCTTGTTCTGTTGCCCAGGCTGGAGTGCAGTGGTGCAACCATAGCTCACTGAAGCCTTGAACTCCTGGGTTCAAACAGTCTTCCCACCTCAGCCTCCTGAGTAGCTAGGACTACAGGCATGCACCACCATGCCCTGCTAATTTCTAATTTTATTTATTTACTTTTTTCTTTGAGACAGAGTTTCACTCTTGTCATCCAGGCTGGAGTGCACTGGCACCGTCTCGGCTCACTGCAATCTCCACCTCCCGTGGTTCAAGCGATTCTCCTGTCTCAGCTTCCTGAGTAGCTGGGATTACAGGCACCTGCCATCATGCCTGGCTAATTTTTGTATTTTTAATAGAGACGGGGTTTCACCATGTTGGCCAGACTGGTCTCGAACTCCTGACCTCAGGTGATCCACCTGTCTCAGCCTCCCAAAGTGCTGGGATTACAGGCATGAGCCACCGTGCCTGCCTAATTTTTAAAATTTTTTTTGTAGAGACAGGGTGTCACTATGTTGCCCAAGCTAGTCTCAAACTGCTAGCCTCAAGTGATCCTCCCACGTTGGCCTCCCACATGGTGGGATTACAGGCGTGAACCACCATGCCCAGCCGCCTCCACATGTCTTAAGGGGATGTTTATGCCACTGATTCGTGATTATCAACGTTACCACAGAGCCCTTCTCTGTTGACTTCCTGCCCTGGAAGGGGAGGAGTGGATTCAGACCACGCCCCTTCTGATGTAATGATGCCACACAACCTCCCTGGTCTCAGAGTCCGTATCCGTGAATGAGAATAACAGTACCTACCTCAGAAGGTTGTGGTGAGGAGTGAACAAATTCATTCACATGAAGCACTGAGAACAGGGCTTTGCCCACACTACAGGCAGTGTTTGGACTCTCGCTGTCGTTCATAACTATGATCATCATCACTTTTATTTTATTTTAATTTATTTTTTGACACGGAGTCTCACTCTGTCACCCAGGCTGGAGTGCAGTGGTATGATCTCAGATCACTGCAACCTCTGCCTCCCGGGTTCAAGTGATTCTTCTGAGTAGCTGGGATTACAAGCATGTGCCATCACGCCTGGCTAATTTTTGTATTTTTGGTAGAGACGGTGTTTCACCATGTTGGCCAGGCTGGTCTCAAACTCCTGACCTCACGTAATCCACCTGCCTCGGCCTCCCAAAGTGCTGGGATTACAGGCATGAGCCACCACGCCTTGCCCCATCATCTAGATTCGACAATTGTTAACATTTTTCTGTATTTACTTTATTACATATCTTTCAGTCCATTCCTCTATTTATCAAGCCATCTGATTTTTTTTAAATGTATTTTTAAAGAAGGTTAGAGTAAAGTATTTTAAAGTAGACATCAGTACTCTTTGCCCTTAAACATTTCAGGATTCATATCACCAACTGGAGTTCAATGTTTGCAGTTATTTTTGAGGTTTTATAAATTTGCATGCAATGAAATGTACACATCTGAAATATCCATTTGCTGAATTTCTTAGTATTATCATTATTATTTAGAGATGCAGTCCCGCTCTGTACCCCAGACCGGAGTGCAGTGGTATGATCATAGCTTACTGCAGCCTCGACCTCCTGGGCTCAAGCAATCCTTCTGCCTCAGCCTCGAAAGTAGCTGGGACTACAGAAACATGTCACCACGCGTGGCTATTTTTTTTTTTTTTCTCCACAGGGTGAGTTCTATGCCTGGGGAATTAAAACAATTTTTAAAAAAGAGATAAGGTCTCTCTATGTTGCCCAGACTGGTCTTGACCTCCTGGCCTCAAGTGATCCCCCTGCCTCGTCCTCCTCAGTAGCTGAGATTATAGGCATGAGCCACTGTTCCCACCTCCAGTTGCTGAGTTTTGACCAATGAATGCAGTTATGTAATAAGTATACACTCCTGCTTTAGACTACAGCCCCTGTTAAGATGAAGAACATCTCCAGGACCCCTGCAAAGTCCCCTTATGCCCCTTCCCAAATGATCCCCACCTCCACTCCACCCCCAGAGGCAATCATGGTTTTGATCTTTTTATACCTTTACTTTAAATTTTCAGGGTGGATGACAGGTGTGTGATGGGAGGGACCTTAGTTAAATTTTGTGGTTGGCAGCTAGAATTGAAAAAAGAAAAAACCTCATTGCGGCCAGGCGCGGTGGCTCATGCCTGTAATCCCAGCACCTTGGGAAGCCGAGCTGGGCAGATAGCTTGAGGTCAGGAGTTTGAGACCAGCCTGGCCAACACAGTGAAATCCCATCTCTACTAAAAATACAAAAGTTAGCCCGGTGTGGTAGTGGGCACCTGTAATCCCAACTACCTGGGAGGCTGAGGCAGGAGAATCGCTGGAACCTAGGAGGCTGCAGTGAGCTGAGATGGCACCACTGCACTCCAGCCTGGGCAGCAGAGCGAGACTCCATCTTAATTTAAAAAAAAAGAAAGAAAACCTCGTTGCTCCCGCCTACAGAATATGGATACCTAATGAACGTGATCACACACAGCAATGACCAGCTTGGAGGGAAGGAGGGACCCTCAGTGCTGAGAGTTGGGACAGTGTCCACTGAGGGCCCTGGTCCTAGCACTGAATGAGCCAGGCTGTTTCAATTCCTGGACAAGCACTGGTTCACCCATTGTGTGTGGACCCCTTACCCTGGCTGCCTCATGTAGGATGCTGTTGGCTGCACGTAAGAAAGAACAAATTCCAAACATCTTAAAACAATAAGGACATGTATTATTTTACAGAACTGCTAGTCCCCCAAAGGCGGGGAGGTTCTCCAGGGGTCAATGCATCAGTCAAATGACGGTCTTATAGACTCAGGCTCCTCAGCATGTGGGTAACATCATCCCTCATGGTGGTAACGTGGCTGCCACAGCCCCAGCCATCATTTCCTGTAGATGCAAAGCATCACAACCATATACTTCCTCTTGCTAAAATCCTACTCTGCCCATTTCCTTTCTGTATTTTCAGTGTTTAGCCTCTCTGATTCTGCTCTTACTACTAACTCATGGGATTTCAAATCATGGGGATTATAGGCTCTCCGAAGTGCTAATGAAAGAAATTGCAGAAAGAAAAGAAGAAAAATGATGTCTTTCTCTGTGGCTTCAGAAAATCAGACACTCCTCAGCATCATAAAACTCTGTTTGCAAATATTCTTTGCAGGCCGCAGGGACATCAGAGATCATCAGTATGTCTTATCAAAGGAAACTTTAACATTGCAGCATCTGTGATTCGGATTTATCGCCCTAGGACTAATACTTAAATTGCATGTAGATTCTGAAAAGGATAAATATTTGTGAATTTTCTGTTAAACCAGAGGAATATTTTTACCACCCCCTCTTCTTCAATGTGGATGTAGGGAGAACAAAAACATGTGATGCTGTTAGAACTCTGCTCTAGACTAAGAGTTTGAGCGCCCAGTTTCAGCCAGCTAATGCTTCCTCACACTGTCACATTCTCTCTGCGAGGCAAAGAAATAGTTTATTTCTCTTACATTACTTTTTTTTTTTTCTTTTTGTGAGATAGGATCTCTCTCTGTCATATAGGCTGGAGTGCAGTCGTGTGATTATGATTCACTGCAGCCTTGATCTCCCGAGTTCAGATGATTCTCCCTTCTCAACTTCCTGAGTAGCTGGGACTACAGGCACACACCACCGTGCCTGGCTAATTTTGTGTATCTTTCAAAAAAATTTTTAGAGATGGGGTCTTGCTATGTTGCTCAGGCTGGTCTTGAACTCCTGGGCTCAAGTGATCCTCCTTCCTTGGCCTCCCAAAATGCTGGAATTACAGGTGTGAGCCACCACACCCGGACTCCTACAGTACTTTTTTTTTTTTTCTTTTGAGATGAAGTCTCTGTCGCCCAGGCTGGAGTTTAGTGGTTCTATGTCCGCTCACTGCAACCTCCACCTCCCAGGTTCAAGTGATTCTCCTGCCTCAGCTTCCTGAGTAGCTGGGACTACAGATGCACACCACCAGGCCCAGCTAATTTTTCTATTTTTAAAAACAGAAACGGAGCTTCACCATGTTGTCCAGGCTGGTCTCGAACTCCTGACTTCAAGTGATCTGCCCACCTTTGCCTCCCAAAGTGCTGGGATTACAGGCATGAGCCACCATGCCTGGCCTCCTACAGTACTTTTTAAGGCCAAAAACATTTTACCCCAGATGGCTTCCACTAGCCAGCCCCCAGCAGACTCCCTCTAAAAGTCAGTCACTGCTGTGACTTCTCCTTGTCCAGGAGTGTGTCCCAGCCTTTCCCAGAACCAATCACCAATAAGGAGACAGGAGAACTATGTCTGGCTTAGATCACTCAGAGGCTGAGGGTACTTTTTCTGAACACACGATCAGAGCTAATAAACAGGCTAATAAAATTAAGGCTCTGCTTACAAAGAAGTAAAGGAAAATGGGCTTGCTTACTAATAATGCAGATTCCCAATTCCTGCTGCTAGTTGCACGGCTGCTTCTGTAGACACTCTGCCTCCTTCTGGCTTGGCACTTTGATCTTGTGTTTATGCCTCAGGATGAACAAACCTCAAACACTCAGGCTTCTTAGAATAGGAGGTCCTAGAGGAGGAGTGGTTTCTGAGAGAAGGAAGCACCTGCCCACACCTCTTAAAAGGAAAGTACCTAAGCTTGGCTGCCTGCTTATCTTTGAGATTTTATTATCAATCAGGCCTTCTGTCACAAGTGATTAAAACCCAAACTAGCTTGAGTACAAAGGGAATTTATTGGTTCTTAGAATGGAAAGTGGCGGATTTCAGGTACGGCTGGATCCAGGTGCCCCTACAATACACTCAGGATTATGCCTCTCTCCCTCTCACCTCTACTGTCCTCAATACTGACTTCATTTTCATTCAGCGAAGATGACATCCAGCAGTTCCAGGCTTAGAGCACAGCAGATAAGTAACCATGGCAGAAAAAGAAATGCCACTTTCCCAATAGTTCCAACAAAAGTCCTGCAGCTGTCTCTCATGGCTTCACTTGGATGGCGTGTTCATTTCTGGACCTGGGGAATGTAGTTGGCTGTATCCAAATCACATAGACTAAGAGCAGGAGAGGTTGGCTCCTAAAGAAAATAAGAAGGGTAAACGAACGCCCATCAGGCTAATCTTTCTCTTGTATGTAGAGAGAGCCCCGGAGAGCATCAGCCTGTCCTGTTTTACCATGAAAAGCAATTCAAAAGATAACAGGGTGATAGGGGCTCAATAAGCTGGGACTGGACAGGGAGAGGTCTTGGAAGAGACAGTGTTGAAGGCAAATCCTTGAAGGATAAGAAGTCAGTGTTTTAGGTGGCAGGACCTGTGAGGGCAAAACACCTGAGAAAAATCAATATTTGATGAATGAGTGGATGAATGAATGAATGAATGAATGAGTGAATGACTAAATGAATGAGTGAATGAATGACTATGGACAGACACTGTATACAAAGAGCCCCATCTTCTTGCTCAGAAGGACCCACGAGCCCCTGTAGTACTGGGAGAATTGGAGTTGGGCTGCAGACCTTGCAGGGAAAATGGAGAGGGAGAGAAGGAAGAGGAGAGAGGAGGAAAGGAGGAGGAGGGAAAGGGTCAGTTGGACTCCCCAGGAGCCATGAGGAAGGACCAGATGGACCCTACCTGGGAGACCACGTCCGACGTTGCTCTCTTGAGGGTCCTGGGCTGCCTGGAAACCCTCCCCCCTCCACAGCCTCCACTCCCTGCCCCTTCCCTCCCCCGCCTCACTCTCACTTCCTCTTTTCTGTTCCTCATGCGTACCAAGCTAGCTCCCATCTCAGGCCTTTGTGCTTGCTGTTCCCTCTGCCTGGAACACCCTTCTGTAAGAACTTCTCAGCCCTCAGATCTCAGCCAAGAGTCCCCTCCTCCAAGCAGCCCTCCCTGACCACCCCAACTGAATTACCCATCCCTCTACACCCACAGCCTCTTCCAAATCACACCATGCTGAGTACCTTCCTCTCTCTGAAAATGTCATGTTTGTGAATCTGTTGTGGTCACAGTTGTCACCCTGTCAGAGGCGTTTGAACAAGAGTGACTCCATCTTGAATAGGGGCCAGGTGAAATGAGGCTGAGACTTACTGGGCTGCATTCCCAGATGGTTAAGGCATTCTGAGTCACAGGGTGAGACAGGAGGTCAACACAAGATACAGGTCATAAAGACCTTGCTGATAAAACAGCCTGCAGTAAAGAAGCTGGCCAAAACCCACCAAAACCAAGATGGTGATGAGCGTGACCTCTGGTCTTCCTCACTGCTACACTCCCGCCAGTGCCATGACAGTTTACAAATGCCATGGCAACGTCGGGAAGTTACCCTATATGGCCTAAAAAGGGGAGAAATGAATAATCCACCCCTTGTTTAGCATATCATCAAGAAATAACCATAAAAATGGGCAACCAGCAGTCCTCGGGGCTGCTCTGTTTATGGAGTAGCCATTCTTTATTCCTTTACTTTCCTAATAAACTTGCTTTCACTTTACGGACTTGCCCTGAATTCTTTCTTGTGGGAGATCCAAGAACCCTGTCTTGGGGTCTGGATCGGGACTCCTTCCCTGTAATACTATTATTACTGACTTATTAATATTCTAGGGTTGTTGTGAAGTCTGGATGGGAGTCAGGCACAGTGTTTACCTGTTTGGCCTTGCAGTGTCCAGCCATGATTGTGGCCTCCTGCCTCTGCGACCCGGTTCAAGTGACCTCCCTGCTCTGGGACTGTCTGTCTCCCCGTAATATGGAGACTTCTATATTGCTCTTCTATACCTCATGTCTCTCTTTTACACACACACACACACGCACACGTGTGTGTGTGCATGGCTGTGGTGCAGGTTTGATGACCTCATGCAGATGTCTAGAGCATGGTTCTAGGCAGAAAATGGAAAATTATTTATAATATAGTTAGTTCAACCAGCTACAATATAGAGAGGGATTTCCTGGCAGGCCATGTGACTTCCATGATGGACTGGGTCTGGCTTCGCCTTTAACCCTCTCCCCAGCCTCCCCTCAACTCTCAAGAGTCAGCTAGGGGCCATCGCCCTGCATGCAGGGAGGCTGGACAGCAGAAAGCATCAGCCCCATGATGCTCCCTGCCCTGCCCCTGCTGTCACCAGGTGGGACAGCTAGACTGAAAGGGCTTCCACAACTCTGGGCTGGGCACCAACAGCCAGGGGAGCTGGAGATTGAAGGGTAACATGTGCAGACTGGAATAGGAAGTTCCCTGGCCTCCAAGCCAGGCCTCCCTAGGACCCTCCTGCCCTCAAATCTGGAAGCTCAGTGTCTTCACCCTTTAGGTCTCTGGGAGATAGGAGACGGAGACTTAGGAAAGTCCAGGGGAAAATAATTTCCAAGTAATAACACAGAAAACAAAACAAAGCTACTAAACCAAAGGATATTGCTGTCAACCACAGTGACTTTCACACTTTTTTTTTTAACTGTAAGAGAGTCATTTGACATCACAACCTAGAATATATACTTTGAACCAAAAATAAAATCCTAAGCCCCCCAACTAACTAAGTGGACCCCCTTATGGGCCAAATGGACCCCAGAGACATCTGAAAACGTGAATTCTAGCCATGATGAAATGGGAGGTGCATATGCTTCATTCTAGCCCCTCCCTTCTGGAGTTTAGGCACAACTGACCAACAGTAACATTAAAATACAGATCACGGGACTGACAGAGTAGACTCTTTATGGCAATCAGATCCCAAATTCCAAGCTGACCCTGGTCACATGTTCTCTGGGTGCTGCCACTTAAAAGATTTCATTTGCATAACAAGGGCCTTGGCTTCTACAACCCCTTATGTTAGCTCAAGCATTCTTTTCTAAGGACTTCTTAAGTCTTTAGGCAAAGCTTAACTCTTCCAACCAAATGGCAATCAGAAAGTCTTTGAATCCACCTATGACCTGTAAACCCTGCTCCCCACCCTCTGACTCAAGATATCCCACCTCTTCAGGTTGAACTAATGTATGCCTTCCGTATATTGATTTATGTCTTTGCCTGTCACTCCGGTCTCCATAAAATGTATAAAATCAAACCGTAACCTGACTCCCTCGGGCACATGTTCTCAGGACCTCTTGAGACTGTACCCCAGGCCATGGCCACTCATATAGGCTCAGAATAAACCTCTTTAAATATTTTACAAAGTTTGGCTTTTTTGTCAACAATACACACTCACAATAAGAGTTTACCAAAGTAACACTTACTTAAGGCTGGAGACAAACTCTGATACTCTGAAATTTCTTTTTTTCTTCTACTTAATTCCATTTCCAAAAAAAATTGCTGGTTTGGACCTTCTAAACTGATCTCATGAACCACTAACAAGTCACTACTTACAGCGTGCAAAGCTCTAATTACACACTAGAAAGTATATTTTAATACCGGGGGAAAATGGGAAAGTTTTACCCATAGAATATTCCTTTACATTACACTGAATGTATTTTACCTGATAGACAATGCTATACTTTTGCTTAAAGCTAATTCCTACTGCAGACAGATGGAGAGTATACCATGGATAGGCACAGGCAGAGGAGGCTCTGCTTTGTGGGCCTAACTGCATTCACTCCTTCCACAAATCTGTACCAGGTGTTGGAGGGTCAGCAGCAGTGGCGTGCTGTATTAGTCTGTTCTCACACTGCTAATAAAGACATACCTGAAGGCTGGGTACGGTGGCTCACGCCTGTAATCCTCAGGGTGGCCAAGGCGAGCGGATTGTGAGGTCAGGAGATCGAGACCATCCTGCCTAACATGGTGAAACCCCGTCTCTACTAAAAATAACAAAAAATTAGCCGGGCGAGGTGGCAGGTGCCTGTAGTCCCAGCTACTTGGGAAGCTGAGGCAGGAGATTGGTGTGAACCTGGGAGGCAGAGCTTGCAGTGAGCTGAGATTGCACCACTGCACTTCAGCCTGGGCAACAGAGTGAGACTCTGTCTCAAAAAAAAAAAGAAAAAAAGAAAAAAAAAAAGACATACCTGAGACTGGGTAATTTACAAAGAAAAGAGGTTTAATTGACTCACAGTTCAGCATGGCTAGGAAGGCCTCAGGAAACTTACAATCATGGCAGAAGGGGAAGCAAACACGTTCTTCTTCACATGGTGGCAAGAGAGAGAAGTGCTGAGCCAAAGGGGGGAAAGCCCCTTATAAAACCATCAAATCTCATGAGAACACACTCGCTCTCATGAGAACAGCATGAGGGTAACCTCCTCCATGATTCAGTTACCTCCCACTGGGTTCCTCCCACGACACATGGGGATAATGGGAACTACAATTCAAGATGAGATTTAGGTGAGGACACAGCCAAGCCATATCACATGCTGAAGCCAGTTTATCCCAACTCACAAGAGCCCTTTGTTAAGTTTTTCAGGAATTTTGGTTGAACTCGCATTGGTAGCTTGAAATCATGCGTGGTGGAAGATTTACACCATGGAATCAGCCACTCTATAAGTCAACATCCCCCCACCCCTGCAATAGTTGTTAAACCTTTATGAGCACACTGCTAGTCAGCAGTGACCAAGACCTGGTCCCTGCCCTGGCAGAGCCTGTTCTAAAAGGACGGGGGCATAATTTACTCAACCACAACAACACATATAAACATGTGCCTTATGTGTGCTATGTGCTATACACCTGCTACAAAGGAGAAGTATAGGAATTCATGAGAGAAGATAACAGAAGGGACTCAAACAAGGCTTCTCCAAGGACACGAAGTTTCAGCAGAGACTTGAAGGATGAGGGGATTTAACTAGACGAAGAATGCAGGGAACAGTATTTCAAGGAGATGGAATAGTGTGTGCAAAAGGCCGGTGCTGAGAGAGGATGGTGAGTCTGCGCAGCGTCGCTGGAGTGGAGAGGAAAGAGGAGCAGAGTGAAAGAAGGAGATACCAGGCTGGAGATGGGAGCATCCTGGCCATGTGGGGTCTGAGGCAGCATGAGGCCTCTGGTTTTTACGCAAAGAGCAATTCTCACAAGGCTACTCCCGCGTTGCCATGCCCTCTTTCACACCTCTTCCTATCGGATTCTGCAAACTAAATTTATGGTGCAGATTGCACTCACTGCCGCCTTTACAGAAGCAGAGGAGAGGAGACATCTCCATCTCCTCCTGATATGACTTTTGCTAACCTGCATTTTAAAAGTCAGCCTCTGAAAGGTCAGATGTGAGCATGAGAAGCAAAAAAAAAAAAAAAAAATAGAAAGAAAAATCCACAGCACTGAAAAGCTCTTCATTTCACTGGCAGTAAAATAAGAAGCATTTACTTTATGGTTTTTCTTTCGGCCTAAAGTGAGCTTTGAGGTGATGTCAGGAGGTCATTAAGGTGGGACCTAATCAACCCGCACCTGGAAGATACTTTGAGGGCAGCCAGGAAAGCCTCCAAGTAACAATCGAAGAAACCAGGGGTTGATAGTGAAAGGGCACAGCTGCTTCTAGCATCTGTTAGTCTCAGAGTGAGAGAAAAAGAGCTCCACTTACCTGTGACCACAGAGGGCAGAAGGAGAACTGTTAGGTGGCAATTATGTGGGGGCACATCTAGCCCAAAATAAAGAAGGTCTTTCCTGACCAACCAGAGGCAGGACCCCTCCCATTCAGCATTGCAAGAGGTTGTGCTTAGATAACCTGGACGGGTCCAAGTTGGGGGATTTGACCTCTCCCGCTCCCATTCCCATGCCCGGGAAGTCATCTCAGCCGCTATTGTCAGGAAGCGGTGGACACTCCCTTCCTAACAATACTTCTCGCTTGTTGTATAACCTTGGGGTGGCTGCCTAAGCTGTCTGATCCACATCTAAAACTGGGGGCAGCCGGGCGCGGTGGCTCACACCTGTAATCCCAGCACTTTGGGAGGCCAAGGCGGGTGAATCACTTGAGGTCAGGAGTTTGAGACTAGCCTGGCCAACATGGCGAAACCCCATCTCTACTAAAAATACAAAATTAGCTGGGCGTGGTGGTGCGCGCCTGTAATCCCAGCTACTCAGGAGGCTGAGGCAGGAGAATCACTTGAACCCAGGAGGCAGAAGTTGCAATGAGCCAAGATCACACCACTGCAGTCCAGCCTGGGCAACAAGAGTGAGACTCCGTCTCAATCAATCCATCAATCAATAAACGGG